TGGATGGTTTTTCTTCAGACTGGATGCACGGTTAATAAGTTTGCAAATGACACCAAAATTGGTGGTATAGTGGACAATTAGGAAGCTTACCTCAGATTGCAAAGGGATCGTGATCAATAAGGCCAATGGGCGAGGAATGGCAGATGGAGTTTAATTTAGATGAATGTGACGTGTTGCATTTTTGTAAGATGAACAAGGGGAAGACTTATATACTTAATTGTAGGGCTCTGGAGGGTGTTGCTTAATCAATGACCTCCCCTCCATAATAAGGTCAGAAGTGGGGATGTTCGTTGATTATTACATCAAGTTCAGCACCATTCACAACCCCTCAGATACTGAAGCAGTCCATGTTCAAATGCAACAAGATATGGACAATATCCAGCCTTGGGCTGACAAATGGCAAGTAATATTTGTGCCACACAAATACCAAGCTATGACCATCACCAGTAACAGACAATCTAACCACCACCCCTTGACATTCAGTGGTGTTACCATCACTGAATCCCCCACTATCAACATTAACCAGAAACTCAACTGGGCTCATCATGTAAACACAGTGGCTACAAGAGCAAGTCAGAGGTTAGGAATACTGCAGCACTCAAGAAGCTTGACACCATCCAGGTCAAAGCAGCTTGCATGATTAGCACTACGTCCACAAGCATCCATTCCCTCCACCACCGATGCTCAGTAGCAGCGGTATGTACTATCTACAAGATGCATTGCAGAAATTTATCTAAGATCCTCAGACAGCACCGTCCAAACTCACAACCACTTCCGTCCAGAAGGACAATGGCAGCAGATACATGGGAACATCACCACCTTCAAGTTTCCCTCCAAGCCGCTCACCATCCTGACTTCGAAATATATTGTTGTTCCTTCACAATTGCTAGGTCAAACTCTTGAAATTTCCTCCTTAATAACATTGTGAGTCACCCCATAGCAGGTGGACTGCAGCAGTTCAAGAAGGCAGCTCACAACCATCTTCTCATGAGCAACTAGGGACAGGCAATAAATGCTGCCCAGCTAGCAATGCCCACATCCCACAAATGAGTCAAGGTTGTTAACTGATCCATTTTTGAGTCCCCAGACTCCAGTGATTCCTGAAAGATCACCACTGATGCCGCCACAATCTCCTCAGCTATATCTTCAGAACCCTGGGGTGTAGTCCATCCGGCCTGGGTTATTTATCCACCTTCAGACCTTTCAGCTTCCCAGCACGTCTCCTTAGTGATGGCCACTCATCTCTGCCTCTGACTATCTTGAAATTCTGGTATGCAATAGGACTGCTGAAGCAGATATTCTGCTGTCTGGATGATTTCAAAGGATTCCTACATTATTCCCCATAAAAATCTCCAATAACAGTAGTGTTGCATACTGCACAATTGCAGTACATGATGAGCTCTGCTTTTGGAAGATTTCTTGTAATAGCAGTCCTGATTGGATCAAGAACACTCAGGTGACTTTTATGAATCAGGTCAGACGCTGGGAATATTGCAGCCATTTTACAATAATGACAGTCTATTGAATTTTTAAACAAGGCTTTCAGAAAACTTAATTAATGTCTATTTAATATTTCCTGTCATGTCACAAAAGCACCAGGTTTAATTTAGTTGTGTGCAATATGAAAGTAGAAGGAGAGACAGGCCTGAAAGGTTAAAGTATTCATAATGTGAAAGCTTAAACCCATTATAATGATTAATAGTTGATGTTCAAAAGAATGTTACACAATTGATTGTTCTCCTCAAGGACTGCATCTGCCAATCATAGAAACAGCCAGAAAGATGGTAGACAGATCTCATAAAAATCTTGTGAGAGATTTTCACTTGTTGCATAAAATCAGAGTAATTATGGTTACCTACATTAATTGAAACACTAAAGTATATGACTGTCTTATAAGGAGTGGTTGAGTACAGTGGGCCTGTACTTGTTAGAATATAAAAGAATGAGAGCTGACCTTACAGGATTCTTTGGGGATGTAACAGAGTATATTAAGAAAGGTATTTCCCCTTGCAGGAGAGTCTTGGACCAGAGGGTATAATCTCAGAATAAAGCGTCACACATTTAAGACAGATGGTAGAATTTGTGGAATTCTTCACCAGAAGGCTGTCCAAGCTGGGCCATTAAGAATATTCAATGCTGAAATGGATATTTTTAATCAGTGAGGGAATCAAGGGTTATGGGGAAAAGGCAGGAAAATGGAGCTGAAGATTATCAGATCAGTCATGATGTCAATGCATGGCAGAGCAGACTCAATGGGCTGAATGGCCTACTTCTGCTCCTACATCTTACATGTGTAATGTGGTCTTCCCTGCAATGCATGTGAAAACAACAATTTGCAGATAAACCTCAAGTGCAAGATGCTTTGTGAAAGTTATTTTTGATCAACGTGACAAATGATATGTCTCAGATTGTTAGCCACTATATTGAGTTTCACTTACACTTAAAATTAAGCATTGTTAATTAAGTGTGAACCAAATAAACAGCTCATAATAGTTTTAGTTTGTTAATTTAGTGTTCCTGACACCCACATGGTACTTCTACTGCTAATTGTCCTTGCCAATGCAAAGGAAATGAAATTTGTCGCTCCAACGGTATCAGAATCTGAAATGCAGCATTGTTAGTGGCAATGCCAAATATTGAATGGCATGGATTCAATCTGTATTGGTGGCACACAACAGTTAAAAAAACAGGTTTACTTATGATCAAAGGATTAGACTTTGCATTGCTGTCTTGAAGCCATGACTGGTAATTTAAAAGTGGAATTAATGGGTTATCATGTTTGTAGGGTTTAGTTTTAAATCCAGCTCAGTCTGTTCATTTGAGGGAGCCTGTCTTGTCAAATGAATTTGACAGCTTCAGCTGTAGGCAAGAACCCAAATAGAAACTTACTATTGATTCAAGGTAATCAGAAAAGACCCAAGGGTTGCTGGTGTAACATGTAAGAATATTAACCTTGTATTGTGCAGTTTCTGCTGGTGACCCATTATAGACATGATCCTCTTCACATACCACCTACAACAGAAGTGGAGGGAACAGGGTCCACCACTTTACCCTACTTCTTTAGATACCATTAAAGTATCTGATACAGTTAGCTGACAGGATTTTACAAGGTTTTGAGACAATTGGCTGTCTATCCAAGTTTCTCAGTCTCATCTGTTTCTTCCAAGACAACACTCACTGCATTGTGCAGTTTGATGGCTCATCTGACAGTTTCAGAGTGAGCAGTGGAGTGAAATACGTCTGCACACTATCTCCCACTCTGTTTGGTATTTTCGTCTCCATGCTCCTGACTTTCGTCTTTGTGGTGGATATTGAAGAAGTCTCCATGCATACCAAGTCACAAAGCAAGCTCTACAATCTATCAAGACTGAAAATAAACATGAAAGAACACTGCATCATGACCAACACAAGTGTGTATGCTGATGATGTTGCACTCATAATTCACAGAAAAACTCAGCTTTAAATACATATTGAATGTCTCTCCCATGCCTTTAATCTGTCCATACCAGCAATAACCTTCAAAAGAAAATCACAGTCATGGAAAAAACTGTTGCATATTATCCCTGATCACATTAAATAAAACCTCACTGTAAATGGTTAGCAAGTTCTGCAACAAAGGTCCATGATGACAATCTGTTCCTTGATGTAATGTTTAGCTCAGTAGGCTGGTCAGCTGGTTTATGATGCAGAGTAACATCAATTGCATGGATTCACATTCTCACACTGGCTAAGAAAATGTTGAAGGATTCTACTTCTCAACTTCTCCCATTTCTTGAGGTGTTGTGACCCTCAGCTTAAACCACCACCAGTTGTCTCTCTCTCTGTCTTCCTCTAAGAGAACTGTGCTCTGGTCTGGAAAGACCACAGCAACTTTACAATACATGCATACTACCTTTGTTTGAGTTATAATAGGTGCATTGAATAGCATCAAGCTGATCTTTAGGACCAAGGTGATGTGTCAGACGACCTGTGTTTTTAATATCTTGTCATATGGCTGTGAAGCACAGAGAACAACTTTCAGGAATAGCTCATTGAAGCCCAACTGTGGCATTTGAAGGGTATACCCTAGTCTACCAAAATTATGAATGCAGTACATCTCTCAAAGGCAGAGCTCTCAAATTTGTTCACATTCAACAATTATTTTGGCTGGGCAATGTCTACAGGAAGGAGAATGTCACACACCCAAGGACTTTCTTTATAGTGATTTAGACAACCATTGGGATGCACAAAGCTTTGCTTCAAGGATGCTGCCTCCATCAAAGATCAAGGTTTTGAATGCTTGTCGATCACTAACCCATTCCAAACCCTTGCTTCCTCATATTCCACCCAGCTTACCTCCCACTCACTTTCCCTACTTGCGCAAAGCGTTGACCTACTCAGTTTTTGGGATCAGCAAATGAAACTGGAATGGAGTTATGAATGGAACATGTGGGCAGGGTTGCACCGGTGTATAACAGTGTTGCAGTGGTACCAACTTGCTGTTCCAGTGCTGTGGCAGGAGAAACTGATCTTAACATTGCACCCGGAAGTCACAACTGAAAATGACATTTGTGGGCAGGTGTATACCGCAATGATGACCAGTGGCTCATACCAACATTGAAAACAACAACTCACAGTTACCCATTTAGAAGCTTCATGAAAGGCATTTGGGGCCAAACCAATTTCTTAAAGACTGGCCTTTTCAGCCATTAGCTAAGGTGTGTCTCATGAAGACACCTCATTTGAAATGGATTGCTTGCTTTAGAATCTTTTATATTTTGCAGTTGAAAGTTGAAAGGCCCAGAGACTACAGCCAAGGATACTTAGTTGTGCAGATCTGAACACTTGAAGGCATAAATTACGAACCAATTTTAAGAGATAAATTATTTTTGAGTGATATTTCTGTGTGGTTCTAAGGAGACTTCAGACAACTGCTTTTTGTCAACTTACTGGTACAGAATTTTAAAAATATATATTAATTCACCAGGTCAGCATTGTTTGTCCATCTCCCATTGCCCAATTTGTGATAAGCTGATTTCTGGAACCGCTACAGTACTTGGGGTACAGGGAAATCCGAAGCGCTGTTAGTTAAGTTTCAGGATTTTGACTTATGAGGAAGGAATGGCGATATTGTTCAGGAACTGTAATCTCCATCACCATCGTCTGAAGTTTAGGACAGTTGTTTCCCAGCAACGTGGGGATATTTCAGGCGGCTTACTGACACAGAAATGCTGGAAGAGCGATCTGGTGGTTCCGACGTCTATACAATCGATTATACAGCGGGAATTATAACCAATACAGTATATTCTTTCGATTCACTTCCTTTTACGCAATGATTTAATCACTTTCTTTGAAATCAGAATTTCCAGACGGAACTGAACTGTTGAATTTCTGCTTTTCTTTTCCTTTGCAGAGCCTTCCAAGAACTGTTTGTCCCAGGGTGCTCTGCCGGGTTGCGCATATTTTGTCGCCTTGTGGTGTCTGTTGAAACTGTCGATGTGTGTGGGAGGCTGGGAGAGTTGAAGTGTCCGGTTGAGTGCGGCCAGAGAGCGGATTAGTAGCTGTTGTTGCTGCTGCTGCTGCGGGTGGCGGTTGGGCAGGTGAAGGCAGCGCGCGAGGAGCCGAACCCTCACGCACCTGGACAAGTGCGAGGGTTGATTGTCCGCAGGAGACAGTTGTATGTGTGGAAATGGTGAGTCTGCGCCAAGCACCCTGACTCAGCATCTAACCAAGGTTAGCAAACCTGGACAAGGCAAGTAGCTCGCTCTCTTTTTATAGTTAACACGTAAGACTGTGGAAGAATTGTCTTGAAGTTGGTTGGGCACTGAAAACGGATTATGAAAGGAGGATTAGTGTGAGTGCCGAAATGCAGGAAGTGAACGTTTTATATCTCCTGTATTCACTTTGATGCGAATTGACCCCAGGTTAATTTACAATCTTCGGCGTCTTGTACTTTTCGCCGGTTTCAGTTTGTTTCAAAGGCGACAATATTTTCGAGTGGAGTTATCGTCCCCTCCCCCGTTTCGCAGGAAGTGTTTTACAGCTGCTAGCTATGAACTGATAAGAGGGAGCAGCACTTGTGTGGAGGGAACCAGTTAATTTGTTGTTTATTTCTCTGTGTTACGAAATAACAGTTGTCTAAATGGTGTTTTTTTTGACGCCGAAGAGGAAAAATGCGAAAGGCATAGAAAATACTTGGTCAAAAAAGTGATTTCTACGATCAACCACATTTCAACAGAACGGGATGACAACAGAGCAGCTAATGAGATTTAAATGACAGTTACCTAAGTTACTAAACACACTGTGATCCTCAGGGTTTCCAGTCAGTACTGGCATATTCACTATTGGCTACATCGCGGGTAGCTTCTTTCTCGTCACTTTTCATTCTGTACTTGTGTTTACATTGGGATTAGCTACTCAAGTTACTATTCATCCAAAGAGTTTTTTGTTTTGATTTCTAGAGCTAGTTTATATATTTTTAAAAAAAATCTTGCTGACTATAGAAGAAAACTCGCTTTCAATTAAAAAAAATCTTGTATACATTTCTCTGCATTTAGAACGTGCTTTTGCAATTTGAATGACTTCAAATTATGCTGAGCTGGGGTGTAGTCCGATATTATCTTTAAATTTAAAGAAGAACAGATCAGCAAGTTTTTATTAAAAAGGACGAGTAAGAATTTATGTTACATCTCTAAGCTATCTCGAAATGAATTACTATGTGTTGTCAAATACAGCAGCCATTTTACACACGCAACCGATCCACTAACTTGAATAAAAGTTTAGCAGCACAGATAAAGATATTTTGACCCATCCTACTTCTAGATTTTTGATGGAGTACTCTGCTCTTGTCAAAATGCAACACTGTATTCTGCTTTAAATATTTTTCCAGTTTTCTCTTGAGTAACATTTTCTGTTTTGACCACAGTCTATACCCTGGATGTAAGTATTTAAAAGTAGCATCTGTACAGGGTTATTAGGGCAATGTGGTTGTCATTTCGATCACCCCAACTAACCTGATGTTATGTTAACCAGTTACCCTGGAATTTCTCTCTTTGTTTTTAAAAAAAATACTTTCTTTGTCATTCCATGATTTTAATTGATTTTAATTACCCATGAGCCAACCAGAAGAAATAGAATTCCCTAATTATTGAGACAACGTCCCACATAAGAGATTAATGTGCAAGATTAGAGCCCATGGGATTGGCGGAAGTGTATTGAGATGGGTAGGAGACTGGTTGGCAGAGAGGAAACAAACAGTAGGAATTAATGGGTCCTTTTCAAATTGGTAGGCAGTGACTAGCGGGGTGCCACAGTGATTGGTGCTGGGACCCCAGCTTTTCATAATATATATTAATGATTTGGATGAGGGAACAAAATGTAATATCTCCAAGTTTGCAGATGATACCAAGTTGGGAGGGAGGGTGAACTGTGATGAGGATGCAGAGATCCTTCAGCATGATTTGCCCACAATTCAAGAGCGACTAGATATAGCACTTGGGGCGAATGGGATCAAAGGTTATGGGGAGAAAGCAGGATTAGGCTATTGAGTTGGACGATCAGCTATGATCATGAAGAAAGGCAGAGCTGGCTCAATGGGCCAAATGGCCGCCTCCTACTCCTATCTTCTATGTTTTTACATTTCTAATCAGAATTCAAAATTTAAAAAAAACACTAAATTTCTTTCCCATTCCTAGCATCATCCTGATGACTCTAAAATATTGGTTCTTAAAGGATTTAATGACCTTTCTCTAATGAGGCATCCAATTCAGTACTTAATATCCTTAAATATGACCTAACTAATGTTTGTATAAGTACATCATTAGTGTCTGGACAAAATATTAAATGAGATGGAAGCAAAAGATCGTGTACCAATGCAACATGCAGAGCATGGTAGAGGAATTATCACAGTGCTGTGTCCAAAGTTATGTATCCAAAAAAAAACACAATTCAGTCTTGATCTTAATGTTTTCAAGTTGCAAATGGCTTTTCCCTTCTAAGTCTCTGACTAACCACTTAAGATCTCTGCTTTCCACCAAAATTAGCTTATTTTAATCACATTTTTCATTTGGTTACAATGCCTTCTCTTGTTTCAGCTCTATGTTGCAGAATTCTTGCTCTAAACCTTACTGGCTCTTCTCTTTCTTTGTTTAGGCCTTCCTTAAAACCTGCCCCTTTCTGTCCTAAGGTATCCAATGTGCCTCAGTATCAAACTGTGACACTTATCTTGATGTTTACTATTTCAGAGATAGTATAGAAAAATACCTTTCTTTCATTCACTCGTGACATCAGTGTCACTGGCTGGATGAGCATTTATTGCCTGCCCCGAGTTGGCCTTCAGAAAGTGGTGGTGACCTGCCTTTTTAAACCACTGCAGTCTGTGTGCTGTGGGTAGACCTACAATGCTGTCAGGAGGGAGTTCCAAGATTTTGATCTTGCAATAGTGAAGGAATGGAAATATATTTCCAAGTCTGGATGGTGGTGGCTTGGAGGGGAACTTGCAGATGGTGGTGGCGTTCCCTTGTGTCTGTCGTGCTTGTCCTTCTCAATGGAAGTGGTGGTGGGTTTGGAAGGTGTAGTCTCAGGACCTTTGGTAAAATTTCTGCAGTGCTTGTTGATTATCTGGTTAAATATGTTGTTAATATTTGTGTGCTTTAAAGTGCACAAATTGGTGGGCAATAGTAGCTAAAGACTAAATCTTACTTTCCTGTCCAATGATTTGTAATGTCTTGTTCATGAAAGGTAGTTGAAGAAAGAAAGAAATAACTTTTTTAATGGAATGCCTGAATCTATGATAGAATTGTAATTGTGAGCTAATCAGTACTTTTTTAAATCAATTCTTTACTCAATAAAAGCCCACATGTATTGGCCTTTCAATGTACTGTATTTATGTATCATCAGGTTTCCTTGTCAAATATCACTTCTCCCTTCCAATCTGAGCAAATTCCATTGACTCAAATACCTTTTCTTCAATCTGTAAATATATTTTACTAATAAATAAAAGGGAAACATTTGACGAATACAACTGGTTATCTTCACAATGGGAATACAAATGCTATTCAATGCATCGTTTTATGCTTATACTGTATGCTGAAAATAATTGGGTGGAGATGTAACAGACTTTTAACAATTATTGTTCCTATGTTCCTCTCGTCATGCTGTGTAATAGTAACTAGCTGTTTGTGGGTTCAGCCCAGTGACCATTTTTCATTTTTGAGTGTAGATGGTAAGTGCATCACAGTCAAGGTCATGGAAAATATAATATTTCACTTTGGATTTTTTGAATTTGACCCAGCAATGGCAAAGGAATGAAAATATAGCTTCAAGTCAGGATCAGTTGTTGGAAGGGAACTTATAGGAGCTGATCTTCCTGTTTATCTTCAGTTCTTGACCTTTTAGATGCCACAGATTTGGATGTTGCAGTCGAAAGAGACTTGGTGAGTTGCTGCAGTACATCTAGTCAAACGGACACGGTGCTGCCAGCTGTGGCTGTTGGAGAAATTGAGTTTGAGGTTGGTGGATGGGGTGTTGATCAAGGGCATTGTTGAGTGTTTTGAGTGGAGTTTCACCCATTCGTATAAGCAGAGAATATTCCATCATGCTCCTGATTTGTGCTTTGTAGATTTAGATAGACTACAGAACCAGGAGATGACTTGCTTGCTGCAGTATTCCAACCTCTTGAACGTTGTCCAAGTCTTGCTAGACATGGTTTGCTTCAATACCTGCGGAATTATGAATAATACTGAACTCTGTACAACCATTGGTGCATTTTCTAGTTCTGAGCTTATGAAAGGCAGATAATTTGTGGAAAAAGCGTGGGGTCTTGGGCACTAACCCTGTTGATATCCCAGTGCTAATGAAAAGTTCTAACAACTGCATCAGAGATAGTAGGAACTGCCGATGCTGGAGGTCTGAGATAGCAAGGTGTAGAGCTGGATGAACACAGTCTGGCCTGATGTGTTCATCCAACTTAACAACTGCATCATCTTCCTTTGTGCTGCACCTGACTCCAACCAATCGAGAGTTTTCTGCCCGATTCTCATTACTTGAATTTTTGTGAAACTTCTTGTTGCCACTGTAATGAAGTAGTCAAAGGCCAATTAGCAGAAGGTGGCAGAGGCATGTGTGAGGGATTGAGTGGAGGGAACTTAACTGGAAGCTGTATTGGGAACTGCCTGTAGTGGCTGTTGCCCTGGTGCATGATAGCACTTGCCATTTGGAAGTGATTTATCATGGGACCAGTGTGTTTTGTGGAACAGACCTCCCTGACTCTTGTGTGGAAACGAGTGGTTTTGCCAGGTTCTGCTGGAAGGAGCAGTGGTTTCAGCAAAGCAGAGCCAAGGAAAATAACGTTACTGTCACTGCTTCAGTTATTTTACAAGAACTGTTTGACCCAAACTGATTGTGCATGGTGCAGAAGAGGGGGCTTCGACAAAGTTGTTGCTGTGGATTCATGACACTAGTGCTGTTGTGAGTAGATCTGCGCAAACTCTGCAAAACTGTGGTATTTTTGTGAAGACTGCACCCTTGGAACATGGCTGTTTGGGATCTGCTATTGGATGTGGAACAGTGGCTAATCCTCAAAGAAGTTGAGTTGGAATTCTATCTGTGGTACTTAAGAGCTTTGAAGAATTTGGCTGAAATGAGTGACATGTGATATGTTTTTGGATACGTCTGTGAGGTCACACTTTCTTGTATCTGCTACTCTTTATGTTGACTGCAATTTGTTTATTAATTGTCTTTATTTACTTTGAATTTGTCCATTGTGTTATAATCATGATGAGAAAAATCAGTCAAATGCTGTCTTTTTTTTCTGCCCAGAAGTGTAATCTCGCACAGCTGAATGCCTTCTCACCACCAAATTCACCTTTATGTATCACTTAATTTCATCAATGACATGTTGCTTATGCTGCTTGGCATGCAAGTAAGTTTCATGTTGTAGTGTCACAAAATTGACACTTCATTCTGGTGGTTCTGCTTTGGATGTGCCTTCCTTACTGTTCATTGAGCTACGATTGAATCCTGCAGCTTTACAGAAATGGTTGAGTAGGGAATATGTCAGGCCATGACTGGTTAAATACTGTCACTACTTGCCCAAGACCTAGTGGAACAACTGTGGTCATAGAGTCACATAACCTGGAAACAGACCCTCCAGTCCCAGTCATCCATGCTGTCCAGACATTCCAATCAGACCTAGTCCTAGTCCTATATGTTAGCATTTGACCCATACCTCTTTAAGCCCTTCCTCGTCATCTACTTATCCAGATGCCTTTTAAATGTTGTGATTGTACCTCCTGGCAGTTCATTCCATACATTCACCACCCTCTGCATGAAAAGATTATCCCTCAGGTCCTTTTTAAATCTTTCCCCTCTCACCTTAAACCTAGGTCAGAAATCACACGACACCAGGTTATAGCCCAACAGGTTTATTTGGAAACACAAGCTTTCAGAGCATAGCCCCTTTGTCAGGGAAGCACACAGAACACAGCAATTTTAAGTAAAAGATCAAAGGGTGATACAACTGATGAAGATGTATTAAACAAACTCAAGATGCTGTTAAATCCTTTAATCAGTTAGAAGGTTTTAATTGCATATATGTATATGTAAATCCCTGAATTTCTTTCAGTTCACTGCCCTGAAAGAACTAAAAGGTTTGATCAGTGTAAAGAAGAGGCGACATTTTAGGTTACACAATGCACGTTAGGTGTGAGGCCTTGTTTGGAATCTGTTTGTTTTGGTTTAGAGTCAGACTGGTTTTATTTCTAAAGTATGAATTTATGAAAGGCCATATTGACTGTCTATAAATTGTGTGCTTTTTGAACAAAATAAAATGTATCTGCAAATACAAATTCACCCCATAGATTTATGTGTGTGCTCGAGTGTGTTAAAGCCTTCTAACTGATTAAAGATTTAACAGCATTTTAGGTTTGCTTAATACATCCTCATCAGTTGTGTGACCTTTTACTTATAAATTCTGTGTTTTGTGTGCTTCTTTCTTTCTCATTTCACCTGATGAAGGGGCGACACTCTGAAAGCCTGTATTTTCAAATAAACCTGTTGGACTATAACCTGGTGTTGTGTGATTTCTGACTTTGTCCACCCCAGTCCAATACTGGCACCTCTGCACATTAAACCTAAGTCCTCTAATTTTGAATTCCCCCCACCCTAGGGAAGAAGACCTCAGCTATTCACCCATTCCATGCCCCTTACAATTTTATAAATTTCTATAAGCTGTGACCCTCCAGGGATAAATAGCCCTAACCTATTCAGCCTTTGCCCTATAACTCAAACCCTCCAGTCCCAGCAACATCTTTGTAAACTTTATATGGTGTAGAAAAGACTTAACAACATCCTTCTTATAGAAAGATGACCAGAATTGTACACCATGTTCTAAAAGTGGCCTCACTGAAGTCCTGTACAGCTGCAAGATGCCCCTTCAGGTTTGGCCAGTTGGGTGATAACGATGCTGCAAAGCTACTTTTGGTAATAAACATTGAAATCCATGACCCAGAGTATACTCTATGCCCTTTTCCACCCTCATTCTGCTGACCTGATGTCATGACACTTTGTGGGGCTCACAGGATGTTGAGCACTCCCGGAGCAAACCCTTCTGACTGTTTGCCATTGTGTCACTGCCACTTTTATGACTGACTTGCTGGTGGGACTGTACCTACCCGGAAATGGTTGTGGTAGTGCATTGTCTGTAAGTAATTATTCCGAGAGTATGACAGTTAGGTCCTGCTTGAGTAGTTTGTAGAATCCCTCCCAGTTTTGACACTAGCGCCAGATATCAATAGTGAGAACATTGCAGGGTTGATAGGGCTGTGTGCTGTTGTCATTTCCAATCTTGGTTGATGCCAAGTGATCTACCTGGTGTCATTCCTTTTAAGATCAAGGCCACATTGTTCTTAATCTGAGTGTCGTATTTGTTTTAGCAATAGACAGTTGCCAGGGATTGGAGTTGGTTGCAATTGAACAGTTCATCATCTTTGGATTCCCACACACTTTTGGCCTTTCCTTAAGTCATGACTTTGGGAAGACATGCATTATAACCTTCTTGCATTGACATTGACTGTTGTAATATATCAATCAATTAAACAGTTTGTTTTCTGTAGCTTATGGACCATGTTGACATTTTTCCCCCAGCAAACTCCTTGCCCTGCTGTTCAATATGTCATCTCCTTTAGTGCAACAAACAGTGCGAAGGTAACATCATAATATGAAAGTAAAATTGGGTGGGTGCTGGCAACTTGCAACCAAATGGAAATTACTTTTGTCAATTCATCAACCTGTTGATTTAGCATCTATGTGCAGAGAAATTGTCTCACCACCATTTTCTGTTTCTGTTTCAGAACACATATTTGTGTTTGTAGGTTTGTAATGTATTAATGCAATTTAAATTATATGTGGTTTTAGTGTTGCGGACAATGAAGATTACATAATGGATCTTGCAATTTTGAATTACTTTAAAGGGATTGAACAAAAACTTGGGAAGCTTTTCACTGGAAGAGCAGATTATCAAAAGATAAACCAGATTGCATTGAAATTCTTTTTTGCATCAGTGCTAGATCACAAATAACAAATCAACACTTAAAATGGTGTAAGTTTGTTTTGGTTTAAATATGAAGAACTGTAGTGAAAAATTCATTTTAAAAATTATTTCAGGTGTAGTGGGTTCTCCTGCTCACTGGTGAGATGCAGCAAGGATTTTGGGAAGAGATGAATGCAGATCCTATTCTTGAAGAGACCTTAATTAAAAGATCACAACAGAAGAAACGGACTTCTCCACTCAACTACAAAGAAAGATTGTTTGTTTTAACAAAATCAAGATTAACGTACTATGACGGTCGTCCTGAGGTGAGATTGGTTATTAATTAGTTAGTGAAAGTTGGATAAATTTGAAGAATGTCAGTAAATTGCGCACAGTGGAAACTTTTGGCCTTGCCTAAGTCAATTTCTTTTTGGGGGAATTCATAAATTAAGGAAAGGGGAATTTCAGAGGACTGTTGGCGCATTTCAGGATTTTTTTTTGATCAATTTCTATGTATCAGTTTTGGAATAAAATAATTTCAGTCGAGTACTGTTGTAAAGAAAGTATTTTTACATCTTATTTTAAAAGCAGTGAAATGCAAGCTGGTTGAAATCTGAATGATGACAGCATTAAAATAATTTTTTCCTTGAACTGTAATTAACAATTTGCTAGCATGTTGCACATCAATTTTTGAAGCAGACAGGTTGTGAATAACTGAGCTTCCAACGGAAACTGGATTATCTCTTTTGTGTGTACAGAATAAGGTTTTCATCCAACCAAGTAAACTTACTTAAATTGGTGGCCATTCTGAGTACAAAACAAACAATTTTAATGGGGCTTATTTACAACAGGTGAGAATTGCATGCAAAATATTCCATTTCCTTCCTGATAATGTCAACATTATTCCTGAAATGAAAAGAATTAATTTGGTAAAAAATATGAATTCTTAGTTCCAAAGAATTTGTTTGCTACACATAGCCTAATCTATCTATTTGCTCATTATTTGTGTGACGTAATTTTATTGGACTCGGGTGAAGCGGGTACATTTGGCTCAGCTCAGTCCATCTGCCTAGATTGAACTTGCATTATTCATTGCCTTAATGCAGCATGCAGGTATTTTGTAAATAACTATAGGGTTTTCTACTGCACGGCTTTAACAAAGTCAATATTTTTTTTTTGCTGCAAAGAATAACTTTTTAATTTCAGTTTATCTGTTTTATTAGTTTGAACTTGTCACGCATCAGTTTCACCTCAAGGTAATTTGAAATGATGTTCCGGTTTTTTTTTTAGTATGGTTTTTCGTATTCTTTTATATCAGTTCTCCAATGTCTCTTAAGGCTGATACATTTGCAGTTTTCCAGATTATGTTTTTTTTTGTAATTAAACCTTCACACTAGGATTGTTCTCTTGGCTCTTCCTCTGCATGTCTTACCAATTTGACAAAAACCTATGAAATAAAAAATTATTGCACATTTAACATTACTTAAAAATGTCTATGGGAATTGTTGTGTTGACTTCGAGGGCATTGGGGTTGGGGGAAGCGGGATTCGCTTGTTCTTTCTCTTCCCTTTGATCGTCTGCACACAGCAATCTAAATTGAACTATTCAGACATATCTGAAAAATTATGTATACTGACAGTTGGATGATGTTCTATCTAAGGTATGAGTGCTGCTTTGGACAGATTATTACTCATTGAAATGATGCATAGTTTTAACCTAGGCTGAATGCCAAGTGCACAGGAATCCCAAAGATCCTGGCATGAGACCTGGGACATTTAACATTGGATTTCAATTAAATTTGACAGGTTGCATTCAGAATTGTCAGTCAGCTTGCCCACGTGATCCTTGAAATTGCCCCCACCATTCTAACCTGTCTCCCTCTGAACCTGCTGCACTCCATTCTCTCAGGTCTAACTCTAACTTTGTTATAAATGTGCTAAGGGTAGTGCTGTTGTCATTTGACATGTCAGCCTTTGTCTTGCAGAGGTTAAGCACCAACTATAGGATGCTTCCTCCCATCTTCCCCTGGACTGTGACCCCACTGTTGAACATCAAACTGTTATTTCTCAGACTATCACTGACCTCATCTCTGGAGATCTACCCTTCACAATTTCCTGCCTTACAGTCCTCCAACCCCAAACAGCTTGCATCCACCTCGCTGGCATACCCATCAGTTCTGAGGAAGGGCCGCTGGATTTGAAACATTGACTCTGATTTTTTTCTTCAGATGCTGCCAGACCTGCTGAGCTTTTCTAGCAACTTCTGTTTTTGTTCCATCATTTCAAACCTGTTCCTGCCAAACAGAACTTTTTTCTTCCGATCCTGACTCTTATTTTCCCCCCTTTGTTCAGTCTCTCCCATTTAGTTTCGTAGTTCTTTAAATGCTTTACATCTGTTCTGCAATAGAGGGCTGAGGGCCCACCCAGGACACTTTTTTTTGGTGCATCAGTGACATCATTGCTGCTTCCTGTTCTTTTTCAGAATTAGAGGAATTCAGCAGTGTAGCTTCCAATTTCGTCCTTCTTTCTAGTTCACCTGCTCCATCTCAAACTCTTTCCTTCCCTGACTTCTCTGTCTCCATTTATGGGAATAGACTATCTACCACTACTCCCGACAAACCCACTGACAGGATACAGCGTTTTGCAGGGATTCAATTCCAGTTTACCAGTATCTTCATCTTTGTTCTATCTTTTGCAATGATGCCTTTGACATATCCTCCCTGTTTCTCAGCCATGGTTTCCACTTCACCATAGTTCAGAGGGACCTCCAACTGTGCTGACCCATCTCCCATAATCTGTCCACGCTTGCTCTTGTCCTTTGTGGAACAACAGTAGGATTCCTCTTGTCCTCACTTGCATTCTCCACCATTTTTGTCATCTCCACCAGGGTACCAGTACAAATCACATCTTCCCCTCCACTCCACTTTCAGTATTCCATAGGAATCATTCCCCTCGTGACACTTTGGCCCACCCCTCCATCTCACTGAATACCTCTTCACCCCTTCATGGCACATTGCCATACAATCACAAAAGGTGTAATACTTGCCTTCTTCTCCCCACCTTGTTCAAGGCACCAAATACTCCTCCTTGGTGAAGCAGCATTTTAATTGTACTTCTTTCAGTCTAGTCTACTGTATTCACTGCTCACGATATGGTCTCCAACATGAACTGGCTGATTGTGTTACAGGGTACCTCTGCAGTGCATGTAAAAATAACCCTGACGTTCCAGTTGCTTGTCATTTCAGTAAACCCCACGCTCCCATACTGACATTTTTGTCCTGGGCCTGCTCTGGTATTGCATTGAACTTCGACACAAGTTGGAGGAACAGCACCTCACTTTTCACTTCGGTACTTTACAGCCTCTGGGCTTCCACAGCTCCAGAGAATGACTTCTGCCCTCTGTTTTTAATACTTCAGCCCCTGGTTCCAGACGTTCTGTCTCATTTTTGCTGTCAGCAGAGCAGACTCATTTCCTACTTCACACTCATCGTTTACACCAATCCCAAATCTCTATCACTCCTTTACCACCATGAGCAGTCTCTTGTCTTTTGATCTGGGCACCTTCACCATTGTTCCACTAGCTTCTCTTCTGCCTCTGTCGACAGCACAAAAAACACTATTTTCTAGCCTCTTTCAGTTCTGAAGAAGAGTTATAATAGACTTGAAATGTTAATTCTGTTTATCTGACCATAGCTGCTGCCAGACCCGTTGCATTTCTCTAGCACTTTCTATTTTTATTTTAGATTTCGAGCATTTGGAATATCTTTTATTTGTACTTTGGAAGTTTACAGTCATTGCATTGACTGTCTCTGCAGACATTTTCTTTAGGACCCATGGATGCAGGCCATTAGGTTGAGAAGATTTATTCCCATTTGTTGTCCTTGCTGTTTTTCTGTAGTGATTGTTAAAATTATGTCTCAATTTTTCTAGTTTAGTGAAGTTAGATACGAAGTAATTGTTCAAAGACACTTTTTTTTTCAATTTAACCATTTTTTTAAACTAATCAACCTGTTCAGAGATGTTGTTATACACGTCTGGAACATGTGGGACGTGAACTCTGTCCTCCTAGTACATGGGTAGGGACACTACCACTGTGTCACAAGAGGGCTATTTGTTCTGTCTGCAGCCCCTGGCTGAGAGAGAGGCAGCAGGCAGACAAGCTGCTGACATCGCTCCCTGGGAGATACCGACTAGGGGCTGCAGAGAGAAAGGGGAGATAGGGGATGCCAGTCGCTGATATCGCTAACAGTAGATACTAGATGTAAAAAATGCTGACATAAAGAAAAACGTAGGAGCTGGCCTGAGCCGGTCAGAACCACTTTGTGCCAACCAAGTTCTGCAAAAAAAGCTGGAAAGATGAGGTAATGCAAAAGCCTTATTTGGATGAGGGGCAATGAGGTAATTCTATCTAAGTCGCTGGTCCAAGGCCAATAAGGTAAAGACATGCAATAATTGAATTAGCCTGAGCCAACAGGAGAAAGACAACACAACTTCAGAAAGATAGGGATAAAAGCAGTCTTGGGCTGCAGCCAGTGAAAACTCCGGAGATGAACTTTTGCAGAAGCGCACCCCTTGTCATGGATGTGGTGAAAGCATCGAGTACGGTGTCTGGCCAGTGTCAGTCCTCAGCAGCTATTCTGCATGGATATTAGCTTTTATATTCTGTGATTATTCTGGAAGTGTTAGTAGCCTTTTGTGGGTGTACTAATAGTTCTAGTTCTTTTTGGAAAACATATGAGTTACTTGTGTACTGTCTAATGTATAAGCCATGCATGTACATTTTAATAATGCATAAATAAAAGAGATTAGTGAGTTATGGTAAAAGCGACTTTTCTCCTTTCTGTACGAGCTGATAACTGGAGCTGGTATTTGCCGGGCTTCAACAGTTCAAAGTCTGCGGTTCCTTCTTGCTATATTCTCATCCCATAATTGACCAGAGCTCACTTTAGTTACCCTTTTCCTTATATACTTTAGAAGCTCTGACACTCTGTATTTCTTGCTTGTTTTCCCTTGCATTCAGTTTTACCTTTTATGAAAACACTCTTTGATTTCTTAAAATGTCCCAATTTTTTGAACCACCACTAATTTTTGTAGCATTTTCTGCCTTTTTTTCAACATGTTCCCTTTGTTAACTTCTTAGTTAACTGGGGATGGTGTATCCTCCTCATAGTCTTTCTTTAACATCGCAGTATATTGTCATGCCTCACTGAGGTATCGTGCTAGAAATAAAGCCCCACTATTACCAGTGTCATTACATAAGTTAACAATTGTATAAAAGTATGCAAAATTCTCCAATTTATCATCAACAGAAAGCAATCAGTTAAGTA